ACAACAACAACAACAACAACAAACAACAACAACAACAACATCAACAACAACAACAACAAACAACAAACAACAACAACAACAACAACAACCCACTGCCACCACCCCTAGTTGACAACTTAGCCCGGTCTCTATGGCCGAATCCATCGGTGTTCTCTAGTAGCACCGAGCCGATTGTTGCTGATGACTGGCTCTGCAAGATTGGAAGGGAGCTGACCACCGCAGGTTGCACAGATGTTGAGAAGGTGCGCTTTGCCGCGCACCAACTGGATGGACCCGCAACCTCATGGTGGGAGAACTACACCGCCACTTTCCCCGTGGCCAATGTCAGGTAGGATCAGTTTCATCAAGCATTCCGCACTGCACATGTCTCAGTTGGAGCTATGAGCATGAAGAAGCATGATTTTCGCAACTTACGCCAGGGAAACCGTACTGTGGCGCAGTACATGGATGAGTTGAGCAAGTTAGCTTGCTACACCCCAGATGATGTGGCCATAGATGCCGCGAAACAGGAGAAGTTTTTGGAGGGGCTGAATGACGAGCTGAGTATGCAGTTGATGGTGGCAACATTTGCCAGCTATCAGGAGCTGGTAGACAGGGCCTTCATGATTGAAGGCAAGCAGCAGCAGATAGAGAACCGCAAATTCAAGTATGGACAAGGGAAGTACAACTCTGGAGCTCAGCAGAAGCCTCGTTTTACCCCGAACTCGGGAGGACATACCCATCATAACCATGGAGGCCATTCTCACAATGGAGGAATTACACATAACCACAGTGGCCCTAAGAATGGAAATGGGAATGGAGTAAATAGCAGTCAGAGCCGTTCCAACCAAGCAACACCAGCCAAGAAGGATCTGAGCCATGTTACCTGTTTCAAGTGCGGGAAGACTGGACACTATGCAATGATTGTTCTAAATTAAAAAATGGTAACGGTAATGGAAGCTCTGGAAAGAAGCCCAACCCTTTCACCAGAGGGCAGGTGAACCACATCAACTTGGAGGAAGTTGAAGAGCAACCCAATGCAGTTATTGGTAAGTTTTTTCTTAAGTCATTTACAGCTATTGTCCTTTTTGACACTGGTGCATCACATTCATACATATCAAGGGGATTTGTGGATAAATTCAAGTTGCCCACCGTAGCCCTTAAGACACCTATGTTAGTAAGCTCACCTGGAGCAGAGTATATGGCTAGCAGAGGTTGTTTTCAGTTGCCATTGACCATAGGTAGGCATGTTTTCCCCTCAGACCTAATTATTTTGGAGTCACAAGGATTGGATGTGATACGATGTACCGAGGAAACATCGATTGTGCTAGTAAGTCAATTCTCCTCAACACCCCAGAGGGTAAAAGGATCAAGTATGTGTCTAGGCATGCGCCAAGGAGGACTCAAGTGAATTCACTCTCGGGAGTTGTTCAGGAGGAAGTACCAGTTGTGAAGGATTATCCTGATGTATTTCCAGAGGAATTACCAGGCATGCCACCAGATCAAGATATAGAATTTTTGATAGAGTTGTTACCAGGAACCGGACCAATATCGAAGAGACCGTATCAGATGCCCGCAAATGATCCAGAGGAAATTAAGAAGCAGATTAAGGAGTTATTGGAGAAAGGTTATATTCGACCAAGTTCATCACTGTGGGGAGCCCAAGTGGTCTTAGTTGAGAAGAAGGATGGATCTTTGAGAATGGTTGTTGATTATCGTGCACTGAATGAGGTGACGATCAAGAACAAATACCCACTACCGATGATCAATGATTTGTTTGACCAGCCGCAGGGAGCTGAAGTATTCTCCAAGATCGATCTTCGAACAAGATACCACCAGCTGAAGATCCAAGAATAGGATATACCTAAGACAGCTTTTACCACAAGGTATGGGATATATGAGTACACCGTTATATATTTTGGTTTGACTAACGCCCCTGCCTACTTTATGAGTATGATGAATAAGGTGTTCATGGAGTTCTTGGATAAGTTTGTTGTGGTGTTCATTGATGATATATTAGTATACTCGACGAATGAAGAGGGACACAAGAAACATTTGCGCTTGGTTCTCGAGAAGCTCAGGGAACATCAGCTATATGCCAAGTTTAGCAAATGTGAGTTCTGGTTGAAGGAAGTTGGATTTCTTGGACATGTTATATCAGGAGAAGGTATAGCAGTAGACCCTTCCAACGTTCAGTCTGTCACTGAGTGGTTGGCACCCACCTCAGTTGGAGAGATATGCAGTTTTCTTGGACTCGCAGGATATTACCGAAGATTCATTGAGAATTTCTTCAAGATTGTGAAGCCCATGACGGAGTTATTGAAGAAGGATACCAAGTTCAAATGCACGAAAGAATGTGAGGCCAGTTTTTAGGAGTTGAAGAAACATTTAGTTATAGCCCCAGTGCTAATCCTTCTGGATATACACAAGGATTTCCAAGTTTATTGCGATGCATCACGCCAGGGACTTGGAGGTGTACTTATGCAAGACGGAAGAGTTGTTTCATATGCCTCACATCCACTTTGACCTCATGAGTTGAATTATGCCACGCATGATTTGGAGTTAGCAGTTGTAGTGCATGCGCTCAACACATGGAGACATTTCCTAATTGGAAACTGATACGTCTCCAACGTATCTATAATTTTGGATTGTTCCATGCTATTATATTATCTGTTTTGGATGTTTACTGGGCTTTAATATGCTCTTTTATATTATTTTGGGGGCTAACCTATTAACCAGAGGCCTAGTGCTAGATTCTGTTTTTTTGCCTATTTTAGAGTTTCGGAGAAAAGGAATACCAAACGGAGTCCAAACGGAATGAAACCTTCGCGATGATCTTTCTTGGACCAAAAACAAACCAGAAGACTTGGAGTTGAAGTCTGGAACGCCATGAGGCGGCCACGAGACAGGAGGGCGCGCCCAGGGGGGTAGGAGAGCCCCCCACCCTCGTGGGCCCCTTGTAGCTCCACCGACGTACTTATTTTGCCTATATATACTATTATACCCTAGATCGATCAGAGAGAGCCACGAAACAACTTTTCCACCGCCACAACCTTCTGTACCCATGAGATCCCATCTTGGGGCCTTTTCCGGCGATCTGCCGGAGGGGGAATCGATCACGTAGGGCATCTACATGAACACCATTGCCTCTCTGATGAAGCGTGCGTAGTTTACCACTTACCTTCGAATCCATAGTTATTAGCTAGATGGCTTCTTCTCTCTTTGATTCTCAATATAAAGTTCTCCTTGATGTTCTTGGAGATCTATTCGATGTAATACTCTTTTGCGGTGTGTTTGCCGAGATCCAATGAATTGTGGATTTATGAACAAGATTATCTATGAATATTATTTGATTCTTCTCTGAATTCTTATATGCATGATTTGATATCTTTGCAAGTCTCTTCGAATTATCGGTTTAGTTTGACCTACTAGATTGATCTTTCTTGCAGTGGGAGAAGTGCTTGGCTTTGGGTTCAATCTTGTGGTGTCCTTTCCCAGTGATAGTAGGGGCACCAAGGCACATATTGTATTGTTGCCATCGAGGATAAAAAGATGGGGTTTCTATCATATTGCTTGAGGTTATCCCTCTACATCATGTCATCTTGCTTAATGCATTACTCTGTTCTTATGAACTTAATACTCTATATGCATGCTAGATAGCGATCGATGTGTGCAGTAATAGTAGTAGATGCAGAATCGTTTCGGTCTACTTGACACGGACGTGATGCCTATATTCATTATCATTGCCTTAGATATTCTCATAACTATGCACTTTTCTATCAATTGCTCGGCAGTAATTTGTTCACCCACAGTAATACATGTTATATTGAGAGAAGCCACTAGTGAAACCAATGGCCCCCGGGTCTCTTTCTTATTATATTGCATCTCTTTTATTTACATCGCATCTCATTTACTATTTTGCAATCCTTACTTTCCAATCTATACAGCAAAAATACCAAAAATATTTACTTTACTATCTTTAT